ATTGCAAGCTTGCTTGGTTGGCCAAAAAGGGCGTATGCGTTTTTTCTTGAATATATTCAGGAAAAAATGCATTTCCCTATGCTACGCTGTACTCTAATTAACTGAGAATCTAACTGTAATAAGTGGGGCTCAACGTATATTAAATGTTTCTAAATTTGAGGTCCACCAGATATATGTGAAAGTCTTTCCTGATTTCTTTCTTTTCTTCAACCCTTTCTACCTCCAACCCCATATCTGTGCTATCCACAAAAACTGTTGGTTCTTTTTAAAAAATATTTATTTATTTGGGTGCACTGGGTCTTAGTTGCGGCACGCTGGATCTTCATTATGGCATGTGGATCTTTAGTTGTGGCATGTGGGATCTAGTTCCCTGACCAGGGATAGAACCTGGGCCCCCTGAATTGGGAGCGTGGAGTCTTAACCACTGGACCACCAGGGAAGTCTCTGTTGGTTCTTCTACCTCCAAAATGTATCCTGTATTTCTCCACCTCTACCACCCTAATACAAACCACTGGTCCACTGCAGCAGCCCTCCAACTAGTTTCTTGGTTTGAATCTTCATCTTCTTTAATCCAGGAAGGTGATCTTTTAAAATCACAAACCAGATCATGTTCACTCTTGCTTAAGACCCCTAATAGCTTCCCCTTGCACTTTGAATGAAATCCAAACAATCGACAATAACCTGGCCCCAGCTTTCTTTTCAACCTCCTCTTGTACCATCCTCTCTACCTTTCGCTGCATCCATCCACTCACCTCTTCTTTCTGTTTTTGACTGCCAAGCTTGAGTTGGCCTCAGGGCCTTTACACTTGCTGTTCCACTTGTATGCAATATTCTTTCCATGGCTCTTCTCATGGATGGATCTTCATCTTTTTAGATTTCAGCTCAAAGTCACCTCGTCTGGGATCTTATTTAAAGTAGTTGTTCCCTCCCCTCGCTCTGTATCTTTTCCCCCATTTTACAGTCCTTTGTAGCACTTGTTTCTGTCTGAAATGTTCTCATTCATTAGTTTACTTGTTTATTGCCTATCTCCTGCCACTGGAATGTAAGCCTCATGAGGGCTGGACTTAAGTCTGTCTTGTTCTCTGCTGTATTTCCAGAGCCAAGAACAGAGCCTAGCATACACTAAGTGCTCAAAGACTAAAGAGCTAGTTAATGAGACTTCAAGGATTACAACAGGCTGCTGCTTTTTTCTCCCTGTTTCTTCATCAAAGATTTTTTAAAATTGAGGTATAGTTGATGTACAATATTATATAATTTTCAGATGTATGACATAGTAATTCACAATTTTCAAAGGTTATATTCCATTTATAGTTATTACAAAATATTGGCTAATTTCCTATATTATACAATATATCCTTGTAGCTTATTTATCTGTACATAGTAGTTTGCCCCTCCCCCCTTTCCTCTCCCCACTTGTAACCACTAGTTTGTTCTCTATATCTGAGTTTCTTTCTTGCGGGCCTCTCACTGCAGTGGCCTCTCCCGTTGCGAAACACAGGCTCCGGACGTGCAGGCTCAGTGGCCATGGCTCACGGGCCCAGCCGCTCTGCGGCATGTGGGATCTTCCCGGACCAGGGCACGAACCCGTGTCCCCTGCATCGGCAGGCAGACTCTCAACCACTGCGCCACCAGGGAAGCCCCTTTTTTTGTTTGTTTTTTTTGTTTTTTTTGTGGTACGTGGGCCTCTCACTGTTGTGGCCTCTCCCGTTGCAGAGCACAGGCTCCGGACGCGCGGGCTCAGAGGCCATGGCTCACGGGCCCAGCCACTCCGCGACATGTGGGATCTTCCCGGACCGGGGCACGAACCCGTGTCCCCTGCATCGGCAGGCGGACTCTCAACAACTGCGCCACCAGGGAAGCCCTTTTTTTTTTTTAATAAATTTATTTATTTACTTTTGGCTGTGTTGGGTCTTCGTTGCTGCCCGCGGGCTTCCTCTAGTTGTGGCGAGCGGGGATTACTCTTCGTTGCGGTGTGTGTGCTTCTCATTGTGGTGGCTTCTCTTGTGGCAAAGCACAGGCCCTAGAGCGTGGGCTTCAGTAGTTGTGGCTCGCGGGTTCTAGAGCACAGGCTCAGCAGTTGTGGCGCATGGGCTTAGTTGCTCCGCGGCATGTGGGATCTTCCTGGACCAGGGCTTGAACCCGTGTCCCCTGCATTGGCAAGCGGATTCTTAACCACTGCACCACCAGTGAAGTCCCCCGAGTCTCTTTCTTTTTTGTTGTATTCACTAGTTTATTTTTTAGGTTCCATATATAAGTGATATCATACAGTATTTGTTTTTCTCTGACTTATTTCACTTAGCATAATACCCTCCAAGTCCATCCATATTATTGCAAATTGCAAAATTTCATTCTTTTTTATGCCTGAGTCATATTCCATTGTATACATATACCCCATCTTCTTTATCCATTTATCTGTTGCTGGATAATTAGGTTGCTTCCATTTCTTGGCTATTGTAAATAATGCTGTGATGAACGTTGGGGTGCATGTACCTTCTTGAATTAGTGTTTTCGGTTTTTTTCGGATACACAGCCCAGAGTTTTAATTTGTAAAATAGGAGTAAGACCACCTCATTGGGTTTTTGTAAGAATTAGAAATAATAAATGTGCAGTGCCTGCCACATACTGGGAAGTGTAAATGGTAGTTATTATCATCCTATTAGATGCTAGGTGGCAGCAACTATAGAAGAATAATTTTTGTGAGTTACTTAAACTTTTATTAATTTTATAAATGCACAACCATGAATCTCACAGACAGAGAATCTGCTCCTGGCAAACAAATCAACTTATTCATCATATACTTATTTAGTGCCTACTCTGTGCCTGGGACCACGCTGGACACTGAGGAGACACAGGTGAACAGCTCTGTCCTCATGGAGTTTACTGCCTCTTGCAGGGAGATAGTGGAAACGGAACAAACATCTAGTTCCAACTGAGAAGGAAATTAGCAGGGCACTGTGATGGAGAATAGGGAAGGGAGCACCTGCAGAGGGGGTGTGGGGAGAAGGCCTTACTTGCAGGATGAGAAGGAGCCAGTTAGAAGAGAGTTGCTGGGGAAAGGTCATTCCAGGCACAGACACAGAATTTAGAGAGGGAGGTGAACAGCTCCAGCTGGCAGGAGAATATAATGGGAAAACTTTAAAGGTTTTAAGGAGGGCAGTAAATGGTTCAGATTATGTTTTAAGAGCTCACTCTCTGGGTGCTGTGTGGAGAATGGACTGGATGTGGGTCAAGAGAATCAGCAGGGAGACCAGTTAGAAGGCTCCTGGACTGATCGAGGGGAAGGATGATGGTGGCTTGGACCAAGGCAGACTTAGAAGGCATGCAGAAAAGTAGAAGAATTTGAGAAATATGTTGGAGGCAGTAATTAATTGTATGGAGTAGGTTTGGAAGAGGAGGAATCCAGAATAACCCTGGGCAAAACTGTCAGATGGGTAGACGGTGGGACCATGTTCTATAGTGGTTAAAAACTGTACAAGGAAAAAGGGAGTTTGGGTGGCTGAATAGAGGGAATTAAGAATTCTGATTGGTCTGGCATGCCTCCAAGAGGGCAAGAAGGCAGCTGGAGCTCCCCAGAGACCCCTGACCTGGAGATGTAAATCCTGCAATTTTTGACAACCTCCCTTTAAGATAGAATGAGAGTCCCTAAATCCATTTTCTCTGTGATGTATTATTTTTCACATCTCAATGCATATATCATTAACAGTAGAGGAAAGTGGAAACCCGAGCTTTCCAGTTTCACGCATTTCAACAAAAGAAACAAAAGTACCAGGCTTTGGGGTAGGGAAGGAAGCTGAGGCAGGACCCCACAGTGACAGAAACTGTTAGCATAAGTTGAAATGGCGGTTAATTAGGAATTCAGTTGAAACATCTTATTAAACACAGGTTGCTAAGCAACAGTGGCCACCCTGGAACAGTGTGGCTGTTCCTTCTGCAGTGGAGCTCCTGGGCCTTGGGTCTGAGCTGTTGCAAAGTTACGCTTTTTGGCTGGTCTGAGCCATGCCTTTACACACAACCTCATATACTCCCTTCTTTTGGAGGGCTTCCCTCTGTGAGTCACTGTCCCTGTCTCTCTGGGATCATTAACCTCTCACTCCCTGTCAGATCCCAATAACAGCACAAATGTGCTCATATGTCACCCATTCTATAGAAATAAATCCCTTGAAATCAACCTCCTCTGTTCCTGGCCACGGTGCTATTCCA